TCCTCCTGATCCCCCGTCTCTACACAGAGATCAGATTTACAGGCTGCACAAAATGTGCCCGAACCAGCCAGCAGTATTCTGTTCTTTACAACCCTAAAAATAGAGACTAAACTCTGCGGTTGAATGTCACATCATGTGAAATCAAATCTCTGAGGACAGAATGAAACCTGCGCTGTGGAAAATAACCAAAAAAACAGGAACATCCCTGGGAATAATCGCCATGGTAACCCTGCCAAACAGATCCAGTGCACTTCAGCATAGCAAATGCTGTATGTGTGGTTTTAAAGGTTTTCTTAAATGTCTCATGCGGGTGCATTTTATTATGTCAACAATATAATAAAACTATTAAATATTATTACATATTAAAATAACTTTTTCTAATGTAATCTATTTACAAATATAATTATGTAATGCAGGCAGCATGGTGGCTCAGTGGTTAGCACTGTTGCCTCACAGCTGGGCCAGTTGGCTTGGGTTTCCTCTGGGTGCTCCGGTTTCCCCCACAGTCCAAAGACATCGCTATAGGGGAATTAAATAAACTAAATTAGCCGTAGTGTATGAGTGTAAATGTGAAAGTGTATGGGTGCTTCCCAGTACTGGGTTGCAGCTGGAAGGGCAACCGCTGTGTAAAACATATGCTAGAATAGTTGGCGGTTCATTCCACTGTAGCGACCCCTGATGAATAAAGGGACTAAGCTGAAGAGAAATGAATGAATATATAGCTAGAATACAGTTCATTGTAACATCGTGACTTTAGAAGTGGCAAGAAACAGGCGGTTGATCACAGGACGATGTAAGAAACGATGAAAATGAGGTCACTTTACTTGAAGAGGGTGTTCATGAGACTGTCAATTTGTGCATGCGTATGACAGCTGTTATTAGGTGACATTATCTGTGTCATTTTGAATGCAAAGGAGATGTCTTTGTCATGACATCTTGACATTGACAAGACAACATAACTTGTCATAAACCTGTCATAAACATGAGACCATTATAATTGTGGCATGAATTTTACATCAGCGCCATTAATATTAATATTCCTCTCAACCTCAAATACAGTGGTACACATTAAAAGTCAGTAAAATAATAATAATAATAATAATAATAATGAGAATGATAATAATAATGATAATAATATCAATAATAATAATGACAATATCGATAATTATGATAATAATAATAATAATAATAATAATAATAATAATAATAATAATAATAATAATATCAATGATAATATTAATAATAGCAATAATAATAATAATAATAATAATAATAATAATGATAATAATATAAATTATAATAATGATAATAATAATAATGATAATGATAATGATAATAATAATAATATCAATAATAATAATAATGATAATAATGATAATATCAATAATAATAATAATAATAATAATAATAATAATAATAATATCAATAATAGTAGTAATAATAATAATATCAATAATAATGATAATAATAATAATAATAATATCAATAATGATCATAATAATATCAATGATAATAATAATAATAATAATAATAATAATATCAATAATAATGATGATAATAATGATAATATCAATAATAATAATGATAATAACGATAAAATCAATAATAATAATAATAACAATAGATTTTATTTAAAGCACCTTTCAATAAACTAACTTTACAACATATAAATATATACACAGTTAAAAAACAAAAAGAAAGCAACAGTAAAAAATGGAGTAGATCATAAAATACAAAGAACCAAAATACAAGAGTCATCTCATTACATGTTATTGACGCTGTTATAAAATTAGAGTATTGAACCTGAGATGACATTTTAACGACAAATTCAGTTTGTTCCACTGGAGAAAAGTTATTAAAAATATTCATGACACAATTATAATGGCCTCATGATTATCAGATTAACGTGCCTTGATTATTAAAGTGTCCTGACAGTCTTATGAACACCCCCTATAAGTAAAGTGTTACCAAAACATGAATTCTACTGATGTTTCTATAGCTCTTGGCAAAAAACCTTGCCTTAAAATCCATAAACAGACAGGGTTTTGAGCCATGAGGATGAACAGATGGGAGAACTGGACTACAGTTGTGGATAATGATGATAATGATAATGATTGTGTGAAAACGTGGATCACGACGGATGAGGACAGACTTCACTACAGCTCATTTTTACCTGTGTTGGACTCAAAACTGTCCAGACTGCGGCTGAAGGGGAGTAAACAACATCAGCATCAGAAAACAAGCACTCTTAGGCTAAGGCTACAACAGAACTTACACATTTTATCAACCTTTCTAATACCTTTTGGGTTTTTTTAGGGGGAAAGTTACATAATCTCCCTTAGAGTTAAACTGTTGAGTTTAACCCATTTTGAATGGCAAGAGCACTTTTAGAGTAGCTTAGCATCAAATCATTGAATCGTATTAGACCATTAGCATCATGCTCCAAAAATAAAAAAAAGAGTTTATTTAAAGCTTGACCCTTCTGTAGTTACATTATGTACAAAGACCATCGGAAAATGACAAGCGGCTATTTTCTTGGCCGATATGGCAAGGAACTATACTCTCATTCAGGCGTAATAATTAAGGATCTTTGCTGTACTATGGCTGCAGCAGGTGTAATAATATAATGCAGCGCTGTTACCTAGCTGGGGACTATTTTTAGGCGCTGCATAATATGTTTTTAAGACACATCTTTGTAGTAAAGCATTTAATTTGTGAATATCACTGTCACTTTTTATGCAATTTTTGTGATACTTTTGCTTATTTACGGTTTTATTAATCATTTCGGTGTGACTTTTGGCTTGTTTTAAGTAAGCTTGTAATTCTGTGTTTTTATTTGTTGTTGTATATCTTGTAGCACTTTGAGTTTAGGAAAAGCGCATCATAAATAAAATGTATCATTATTAGAACTTTTGAGTGAGATGCTAATGGTCTAATCTGATTTGATGATTTATGCTAAGCTAGGCTAAAAGTGTCCTCGCCAAACTGAGAGATCGGCTAAATGGTTTTCAAAATGGTAAAACAGTTTCACTTTAGGGGAGTTGTAAAATGAGCCAATTTGCAAAAAAAAAGAAAAAGTGCAGTGTTGCTTTAAATGTTCCAGTTCTCCTGATAGAGTTTATTGACCCCGAAGGTTACAGTAGGGTTAATGTTGGGGAATTTAGGTCAGGGTTGCAGGTAACTGGTCAGAATATGTGAAACTGACCTCCTGACCATAAGGGAAAATGGCTGTAAGATTCCTTATTGAGCAAGAATGAAGTCATTAACCACTATTAGGCTGCATTTACACTTCAGATCTTGATGGTCGATTCCGATTTTGTGACTTGTCTAATTTTATATATTGTTGTCTCATATATATATATATATATATATGTAACCCCGCCGGTCCTACAACCGCTCCGAGCTGGAATCGAGCCGGCGACCTCGGAGTTGGTTGCTCTAACAAGGAGCTAAAAGACAATGGCCTCTGTCACGAGAGCACCTTTAGAGGTCAGAGGAGTGAGGTTTGCATGCTTAACACTTCGCTAGCCGGCCTCCGTTACACATGTATAACCCATCAGTCCTACTGCACTCAACCAATCTGAGCTGCCATCGAATTGGCAATTCTTTGTATGGGAGTCAGTTGCTCTACCAAGGAGGCTAAAGACCATGGCCCCTAGCTTCTGTCGCTAAGGGCACCTTTAGAGGAGTGAGGTTTACCTGCACAGCACACACTAGCTGGCCTCCGTTACAATCGCACCCCCCTAATATCTGGTTTATACCGCCAATAGTCAGTCTTGATTTCTAGAAGTAGTGACGTTTCTTGCTCAAATCTGATCAAATGAACAATTTTCTTGGTTCTAATCAGGTGAGAAGAGGTTCGAGTGTCCCGAATGCTCCAAGAGGTTCATGCGGAGCGACCACCTGTCAAAGCACATCAAAACCCACCAAAACAAGAAAGGTGGAGCGGCTCTTACCATCATCACCACAGACGAGATGGAGGAGGAGGTGGATGAGGTGTTGGGCTCGCCGAGGATCGTTACAGTGGCGACGCTCTCACACGATTCCAACCCGGCCACGCCCACCACTTCAAACAATTTAGAGGAGGAGTTTGAGTAGTTTTCCCTCCAAAAAAAAAAAAAAAAAAAGATTATTGGCTTAAAGCACCATGATATTGTTTGTTTGTTTATATATGTCGATTTTACGTTCTTCATTCTTTTTCTATCGACGATGGACCGCTGTTTGAGCGTACTCGATTAGTTTTTTTTCATATGGAAATTTAATACTATCAAATATTATGATAACAATCTAAAGGAAATATGGAAATAGTATGAGCTGTTAAGAGACGTAACATGAGCGATAAACGAGCGGTGTTTGAATTATTTCGAGTAGCACAAGAAGTACTAAAAGTATCCTAATGCTCCTGA